AAAAAAAAAAAAAAAAAAAATTGAGTGTCGAGATGATTAAATTTTATGTTTCTCCCTGTTTTAGTCTGCTTAAGTGCCATAACAAAATACTACAGACTGGGTGGTGTAAACAACAGAAACCTATTTTCTCACAGTTCTGGAAGCTGGAAATCTCAACCTAAAGTCCAACAGGATTGGTTTCTAGTGAGGACACTCTTCCTGGCTTACTAATTACAGCCTTCTTGCTGTGTCTTCACGTGGCAAAAAGAGAAAGAACTCTGGTGTCTCTTCTTATAAGAACACTAATCCTATCAGGTCTGGGTCCCACCCTTGTGACCTCATTTAACTTTTAACTACCTCCTTGTAGGCCTTCTCTCCAAGTGTAGTCACATTGGGAGTTAGGACTTCAACATATGAATTTGGCAGGGGGACACAATTCAGTCATAGCACTCATTATTCTTCACTATAATTTTTGCTGCATTCTATAGGCCATATAAATGTGATATTGAAGACTTTTTATTATTTAATGCTGGAGGCTAGAGAATGAGGGGGCGAGTGATAGGAACGGGGTAGGAACCAAATTGTATAGGGTCTTGAAGACCATACTGTGTTGGATTTTTACTGTAATTGTGTTATAAAGCCATTGGGGTTCTAAAAGCAGAAAACTAAATAACTAACTAACTAAATAAATAAATAAAAGCAGAAAACTGATAGAATTTGATTTGTATCTTTAACGCCCATTCTAATAACTTTGGCAGAACAGACTATAGGTAAGAATAGAAGCTAGGCGACCAGTTTGGAGTCTCTTGAAGTAATTCAGGCAAAGGAAAATGGTGACTTAAGGTAGAATACTAGAGATAGAAAGATTCAGAATATGTCCGGTTGAACTATATGAAATTGCTGGAACTTTCATAACATTTAGAAGATAGAACAGTAGGATTTCCTGATGGATTGGAAATGAGCTATGAAAGAAACAGGAGAATCAGGTCTTACTTCTAGCATTTGAATCTAGGAGACAAGGTGGGTATTGGTTTAATTTATCAAGGTAGGAGAAGAAGAGATTTGGCACTGGAACAATCAAGAGTTATGTCTGCATTATCTCCTGTTAGACATGTGCATGGAGATGTCCGATAGGCACTTAGACATAGGCTTGTCTACCTTAGGGGACAGTTTATATGCAAAAGTGAAATGTGTGACAGTAATAGAACAAGTGAAGTGAAGGAGAAATTGGAGTTAAAGTTGGCCCTTGAATAACACAGAAGTTAGGGGTGCCAGCCCCCTGTGTACAGTTGAAAAGCTGCATTATAGCTTTTGACTCCTTAAAATGTATCTACTAATAGCACACTTGACCAGAAACCCTACCAATAACATAAACAGTCAGTTAACACATTATATATGTTTCGTGTATTATATACTATGTACTAGAAATAAAGTAGGCTAGAGAAAAGAAATATTATTAAGAAAATCACAAGAAAGAGAAAATCTATTTACTAGTCATTAAGTGGAAGTGGATCATCAGAAAGGTCTTCATCCTCGTGGTCTTCTGTGCGAGTAAGAGTAGGCTGAGGAGGAGGAGGCAGGGGTGGCAGAAGTCTTGATGTCTCAGGGGTGGCAGAAGGGGAAGAGATGTAGGAGAGGCAGGCACACTTGGTGTAACTTTCATTGAGAAATTCTGCATGCAAGGGGACCTGCCCAGTTCCAGCCTGTGTTGTACAAGGGTCAGCTGCGTTCTGTTGTAAAGTTTTTACTGCTATGTGCTAGGTGATATTACTTGAGAATAGATTATGATAAATTCAGTATGTATTTGTAATTCTATGGTAACTTTTAATAATTTTTAGGGAAAAAAGATGATAAGCCAGTAGGAGAGACAAAATTGGATTATAAAAAGTAATCAATTACCTCAACATAATAAAGGCCATATATGAAAAACCCATATCACTTAACAGTACGAGGCTGAATGCTTTTCTTCTAAGACAGAAACAAGACAAGCATGCCCACTTTCACCCCTTCTATTCGGCATAGTACTGGACATCCTTGCCACAGCAGTTAGGGGGAAAAAAGAAATAAAGGCATACTGATTGGAAAGTAAGAAGTAAAGCTATCTCTGTTCACAGACGACATGGTCTAATAAGTAGAAACCCTTTAAATCCAATTGTGTCAACATTTATATTAAATGTAAATAGCCTAAACACCCCAACGAAAATACCTAAAGTAAGAGATCTGTGGGAGACCTTGAGGTACTCTCCAGATTAAGACTTTGTGACCTGCTGAATTTTGGATTTGAAAAAGTTTTCCGACTTCAAATCCTGAGCTCTCGTACATTTTATGTAATATTTCAGTGATGTGTTTGCAGTATTTTTTCTCCCTGTAAATTTATCTCAGTTTATCTTGTTTGTCTCCATTTTATTATTCTGTTTTGTACTTTAAGCTTTCTTTTCAAACTAAGATAATAATCTCAACTAATATTTTATGGGTTTTTTTACATATCTAACATTAATAAATTTTTACCACAAACATTTGAATTGTTTATAATATTAATTTATACTTTTACCAAGTAACGTTGAACTCCTTTTGGGGGAGCTTGGGGGCGGGTCTCTCTCTGTAGCCCAGGCTGGAGTACAGTGTCACTA